GGAGAAGTTCTCTCCTAGTCTGACTGTGGCATGAAAGAAAGAGGGTGGGTTCTGACTTGGGGACACTTTTCCCTGTCTGATTCTACTGTTGGGGTGATGGGGATTCTCTTCAGGTAAATCTTGCTTCCAGCCACTGTTTCAATTCGGGGATATGCAGGAAATCATTCAGAACTTCGTGCGGGTTCATGTGGATGCCCCTGGAATGGAAGAGGGGGCTCCTGTGTTCCCTTTGGGGTGAGAATTAGCTCCCTCCCTCCTCACCAGACCGGGAGGCCCAGGGCAAGTGTGGGGAAGATTGGACCAGGGGAGGAGGAAAGAGGGGGCAGTGGAGGTTCTTGGAGAGGATGAGTAGGACATCCTGAGATGGGAGGAGTGGGGGCAGGTTGATAATTTCCTTAACATTCCTCTCTTCCCCAGATATCAGTACCCATCTCTGGACCAGCTTGCGGACATGATCCCTTGCATCCTGCAGTACTTAAAGTGAGAGGCCTGGGGACCCCTCCAAACCAGAGTTCTCTTCCCAGCACAAAGTGGCTCTTAGAACTCCTGTGTCCACCATGGCTCCTGGGCGAGTTTTGGCCTCTGGGCTAGATATAGCCTTCCTCCTCTGTGCTCCCACCTGATTGTTGAGAGGAATGGGGATGTGTTTTGAAAACTGACTTGAGACAGCTGAGTAGCCCTAATAGATGGAGGAAAGGAAAAGGAAGGGTCTATATGTGGCCCTGCTACAGGCTGAAGAGGAGCTTCCTGATTAGGATGCTAGAGAGGAAGAGAAGGGGGTGACAGTCTCTGAGGAACCAGATAGAGCTGTTTCTTTTCCTCCCACTCCCCCCTCCTCCATACTTACACCTGGTGACTGGGAAACCCTGTGTGTAAGGAAGTGTGGGAGAAGGATGAGAAAGCCAGGCGAGGCCTCCTTGGTATGCACACCGAGTGCTGATGGCTCCTGGGCTCTGTCCTTTGCTTGGCTTTTCTTGGGCACCAGGGGCCCAGGCATCTCTGGGTCACTTCTTTGGCTCTGTTTCCTCCATTTTCCCTGTTGTTCACTGAAGTTGTGTCATTTTTTACATTGTGCTTCAAGTTCCCTTCTTCCTAGTTCCTCTGGAGGAACCAGGAACTAAAACAGAACAAGTTGAACTAGCTCCTGAAAGTGGAAAATGGACAAAGAGCTACATAGGAAAACAGTGTCTGGTTGTTTGGTAGATGGGTGTTTCTTTTCAAAACATTAGCTCTCCAGGAAGGAGCTGGGGACAGACTTCAGGGACCCACACTGACTACCAGTGTCAATTTTTAGCTACTTCGCACCTTCCTTTTCAGCATCCCCCAAAGGAAGGCCCCTGTCTGTTCTCCTTTGTGCCTGTGGCCTTAGGACAGAGGGTGAGGAGTTTGGAGAGCCAAAGCTTTGGACACCAGGGCCCATTAGACATACGTTTCCCTTTCACAGTTTCTCCACAATAATTGGAGTTGGTGTGGGAGCTGGAGCCTATGTCCTGTCGAGATACGCTGTAAGAAATAAAAACCCCCGGATGAGGGAAAGGCAGTCCAAGGCCCATAGCAGACTGATTAGGAGAGTACTGTTTGCTGGTGTGTGTTTGGGGGGAGGACGTGGGTCCAAGGGTGGTGAGGCAGGCCCCGTGGGAGCTAAGAGTGGGTGGAGCTCAGTGAGGAGGGGATAAGGCCGTGCCTGCCTCTGACTTCCCTTCCTTCTGCTGCCCCTCAGCTTAACCACCCGGATACAGTTGAGGGTCTTGTCCTCATCAACATTGATCCCAATGCCAAGGGTTGGATGGATTGGGCAGCCCACAAGGTTTGGAGGGGCCTGTGTGCTGAGATCTAGGGTGGGGGTTCCCCTTGAATGGGTCCCCTTAGGCTCTACCAGTGTAACTGATTGGCCTGTGAACTTAAAGGGTGGGAGATGGAACAGGAACGAAGCTGTGTCACTTTGCCTGGGTCTCTTCTCCCCATAATGTCCTGAGCTTTCTCACCTGCCCTTCCTCATAGCTAACAGGCCTTACCTCTTCCATTCCGGAGATGATCCTTGGACATCTTTTCAGCCAGGTAAGTGGCTGTGGAAGATGGAGGAAGAAGAGGGACCAGCAGGGACTTGAGTGCTTGGGGTGACTTCCTTGGCTGGGACAGGATCTGGGGAGGAAAGGAGGCTTGCCTCTCTGCATCCAGTAACTGTTGGCTTCTCTTCCCAACCCTAATTTTTCTCCCTCTTCTTTCCTTCAGGAAGAGCTGTCTGGAAATTCTGAGTTGATACAAAAGTATAGAAATATCATTACACATGCACCCAACCTGGACAACATTGAACTGTACTGGAACAGCTACAACAAGTGAGTGGGCAGTGTGTGTGCATGCGTGTGCACGTGCTCACAGGCAAGAGGAATGCAGAAGCAATACCGGAAGGCGAGAGGAATGTAGAAGCAGTACCTGGGGGTCACGGGGAGGCCCGGAGGAGGAGGGGGCCATCTAGGAAGTGGGTGGCGTGCAAGGAGGGCAGGGTTTGGTGTGCAGCTGGGGCAGCTGCAGGTCAGACCCAGTGGGAATAATGGTGAGGAGCTGTCCCCCTTTCTCCTGTTGACTTCCCTTGGATTTTTGTATTCCGAGAAGTAAGATGATCTCCTGTCCTCATGCCCATCCTCCCCTTTCTCTACCCTCTGACCAAGGATCGTGCTTGAGGCCTGCCTGCCACCTTCTCCTTCCATTGCCACTTTTAATCACCAATATTTGACTATAATTTGGGGGAGGAAGATAGCTTCCTCATGGAGAGATAGTGTATATCTGGATGGAGAGCATCACCTGCCTAAAATTCCTACTCCTTGTTTAACCCCCATCTAGCCGCCGAGACCTGAACTTTGGGCGCGGAGGTGACATCACCCTCAAGTAAGACTTGAAGAGATAAAGCTTTACCTCTCTCCCTACATCTTCCCTCGGTGCTTATATCCTTTAGAAGAAGGAATGTCTTTTGCCAGGGAATTGTCTTGTCACCTCCCACCCCATCCTGTTTGGCAAATCACCGCCCTCTAGGTCTTCCCCCTTTGAATCCTCTTGGTGGGGTCAGCGGGCTCCAGAAGGCTGTTCCCTCTTTGGAGCCAGACATTTTTCCAGCTGCTCTCCTGGGAAGAGGTGAGTGAGGAAGTGCCAGGGGCTCACTGCCTCCTCCCCGACACTATGCCTCTAGGTGCCCCGTGATGCTGGTGGTAGGAGACCACGCACCCCATGAAGATGCAGTGGTCAGTAGGGAATTTTGGGGTGGGTGAGGGAGGGTTGCAGTGTTGGTGGTCAGAGGGGTCTCTTGCCAAGAGGCAAGCTCTTTAGGACAGGGAGAGCAACTTTGGGGCATAAGAGGTTGATATCTGGTAAGAAGGAAATGGATAGGGGGCTGATGGGAAAGGAACTCGGGTCTGGGTCCTTGGGTCCCTTGGATGGGAGGGGTGACAGGGAGTGTGACCTCATTCATTCAGCCTCCTACTTACTCAGGTGGAATGTAACTCAAAACTGGACCCCACCCAGACCTCCTTCCTCAAGGTCAGTAACCCTACTCCATGCCCAGCCTGACCTGGTCCCCTGTCCAGAGCCGTGTATCCTCTCTAGATTCAGCTTCTGGGCCTCCAGGGTCCTGCATGGGAGGAAGTCCAGTGGATGAAGTAAAAAAACTCCTAAGGGCCGGGAATTGGGAAGCTAGGGGAGAGAAACCCTTGCCTACCTCTCGCATCGCTCATTTTATTTATGTGCGTATCACTTTTTCTGGGTGGCTTTCTCCTGGACAGATGGCCGACTCTGGAGGTCAGCCCCAGCTGACTCAAGTGAGTACCCCAGCCATCCATGGCATGGACTATATGTTTTGCCACACACCGCATCCCCAACTGGCCCCGGCCTTGGGCTCTAGCTCAGCTTCTAACCTCACCTCACTGTCTCTCTCTCATCCTCTTACTTCCACAGCCAGGCAAGCTGACCGAGGCCTTCAAGTACTTTCTACAAGGCATGGGCTACAGTGAGTATAGGGGTCAGAGGCTATAATGAGGACAAGGGATTGCTGCACAGGAGGAGGGATGGACACTGAGGGAGAGGAACCCTTTTGGGCTAATTCCTGAACTAACCGCCATCTGCCAAATCGAGCTCATTGACCCCTAGCCCCAATTGTAACTCTCGTCTCCACTCAAGCCCCCACCTCTGAGTTGCCAGCCTCTCTTCCCCACCTCCTGACTACCTGCTTATCCTTCTGTCTCCATAGTGGCCTCATCTTGCATGACTCGCCTGTCCCGGTCTCGCACAGCCTCCCTGACCAGTGCAGCATCCATTGATGGCAACCGGTCCCGCTCTCGCACCCTGTCCCAGAGCAGCGAGTCTGGGACTCTCCCTTCGGGGCCCCCGGGGCACACCATGGAGGTCTCCTGTTGAATGACCCTTGTTGCCCTGGCGTGGGACCCAGCCCTCACCTCCCCCAGCACTAACCTGGGAGGTGCATAGGGCACTGGGCCAGAGTGAGCAAGGGAGAAGGGGCAGATTATGTGGGGAGATGACCTTGATCTTTGATTGCTACCCTAACTTTGACCTCTAACCTGTGATTCCCCTCAGCTCCTGGGAGAGATGTCCTAATATCTCTTAGGGACTCAAATCCCTAAATTATCCCTCTCCCTCATTTTGGTGTTAAGGCGGGGAGGGCATGTATCCCCTCTCCCTAATGTAGGTGTCCGTAGATAAGGGATAAGAGATTGTTGTAGTTGTCCATGGTGCCTCCACCAGACTCTCCCTACTTATCCCATTGCAAGGGTAGGGGACTTGGGCTGGGGCTCCATTCACCAAAGCGGATATGGCCTCTCATTAACCCTTCAGATCTCTGAAGGTTATGGGCCTAAATGAATGTGAGTCAGGGGAGGCTTGCTTGTGGGTTAGTGGTCCTCAGGATGTGATAGAAACATCCAATGTGTGAAATGGAAGTTGGAATGAGAGGTAGTGGGTAATGAACAAGTATCGGGAAGGATTGGAGCTGGGGCAGTAGGAAGGGGCCTGGGGCCATTGGCTGCACTAACTTTGGTAGCTGTCTAGACAGTGTGTGTCTAGAGTGGGAGCGGGGAGGGAGTCTAACTGGGGTAGGGCTTCTTGGGGCTTGGCACAGGGGTGGGAAGGGCTACCTTGGGGCTCTGACCACAGTGTGTTATGTGTGGAGGGTGCCCTCCTGTCTTCCACAACTTCTGCTGTAACAATAAACTGTAGAGGAAGCTGAGCACCATTCTTCTACTTTGTCTGGGTATGCCTGCATCATGCCCCTTCTCCTGTCTTCACCCTTCAACTCTTACCTTCTCTTCTCAAAGTAACATAAACTGTGGGAGAGGGCTTATAATAGCATAAACACTTCACAAAATGTGAGTGCGTAGTCACTAGCCCTTATGCTGGTAGAATGGTATTCTTTTTGATATTGGTATTATTTCCAAGTTTTGGAAGAGAGGAGCTCCTTAGGTCTTAGAAGACTTCCTTACTAGTTACGGATAGAGAAATAGCTTAGGATTTCAGAGATGACACCAACATCCTGGTCTCACAGGAGGAAGTACGGAAAGCTGACTAAAGTGCCCAGGGACATCTTGTGACCCACCTTCCTGCATGATCCTCCCTAGGGGTCACCAAGGTTCCATTTTAGATGTTTCAATACAATCAGTAGACCAGGCCTCATGCAGTTACTAGAGGGCTAGGCTTGCTCATGTTTGATCTCAATCTGAAGACTCCTTCAGGAGACTCACAGAAACAAGGACTTCCTCTCAGGAATTCCTTCTCCCCTACAAATCCAAAAATTTGGGGAGTTAATTAGACTATGTTTTTTCTGAGAAGCTTTTCAACAAGTATGAACAATAATCATCAAGGACTTCAGGTATTTTGTGGCTGTTGCAGGCTGATTCTTGGGCTTTTGGGGCACAAAAAGTAAAAACAAGAAGGCACTCATTGAGTGTTACTTGTGAGAGTACTGTGGGTAGAATATTACAAGGCCATTTGTCAGATTATAGAACCCCACAGGCAATTATACACTTTCCTCAATGAAGCTGAGCTGAGGACTAAGGCAGCTTAATATTTAGTGCTGACACACTGACTTCATGGAAGTAGGGCATGGAATATTCCTTGATTCTTGAGTTCATCATTCTCAGGATGGAGTCTATTTTAAGTGCAGTAGGCCAGGATCAGAAGGGGGCAGGGGCCTTAGGTGACTAGCAGGGTTACAGAGCTAGCTATTGATAGCGAGGGTGTTGGGTGACCACATGCAGGGCAGACAGCAAAGAGTGCTTAAACGCTACACGAAAGAAAAGAAACAGGGCATAACTGGAATCATTGGACCAACTAGCTCCTAGGTAAACAAAACCTGACAAAAAGGCAAAGAACTCCAACCAGCATCGGCCTTGACTGCTAATAGCTGTTGCTGTGCATTATGGAAGGGAAGGCAGGTCTTAGCACATTTGCCTGCATGGATGACACTGTTAGGGTAAATTTTTAGAGGAGGGAGAAAATTAAATTTACACGTTCATACGTGAGTGAGTGTGTATGTACCTGTCATGGAGGTGGTGTGTGAAATGGTGGTGACTTTGTGTCTCTCTCCTATAGATGTCTCTGCATAAGAAACCCAAAAGTTAGGCAGAGAGCGAGAGATGCTCTCTGCTTGGAGCAAGGGAGAGGGGGTTTGCTGTCCTTGACTGACCTCTCTGTTGGTCCTGGAGATTCCAGTCTAGCCCATGGGGACACAGTGCCCCCCTGTGGTCGGCATGGTTCTTCCTAACTTTCCCCAGTTCCAGCTCTCTTCCTAAATCTCCCATCGTTCTTTGTGATTCTAGAATAAGCTACATAGGGAGGGCCTGATACCATGGTCTGTGGCTCCTGCCCACTCTCAAGATCAGAGCTCAGAGGCTCAGAGGAGAGGTGGGGTGACTTCATAGAAGCTGAGCCACAAACTCCCTACATTTTGTCTCTGCTTCAGCCTTAGGACTCCTGTTTCTCTCTTCCTCTCATTCTCAAGGAATTTGTTTCCTCGACTTTAGGGACAGAAGCCCGAGATAGCTAAGAGAGGGTTCAGTGGGAAGGAGAATAAAACTAGAAGAACACACGATGAGAGACTTGTGGTTGCAGCTTGAAAATTCTGGAACTCACGAAGAGATGCTAAAGGGTGATTCTCTGAAGGCACACACAATGCAGTGGGGCTGCAGCAGGGGGGATGAAGGCTAAGCTTCCGAGAGCACTCCTCAAAGAGTTAAGGGAAGTGCCAGAGGGGGGATGTCACCTTTCTGGAGAGACTTTAGGGCCAACTGGAAAGGGAGAGTCAGTTCTGACCAGAGGCCAGGGGTGTGGTCAGGGTAAATGGTGCCCAGAGCAATGTAAGTTGTTTGCATCCTCTCTCCTGGCCAACATCAGAATTTCCCCCAAACTGGATACATATATAGTAAAAGTAGAAAGCATTCTTTATTTGACATTCAACAAATCTGAAGCTAGCAACTTAGAACAAAACTGAAATAAAAACGAAATGATCTACAAGTGGTGTTTTTAAGCATCCCCACAGACTGGGGCTTGGAGGCGTAACCCCTGGCTGCACCCCTTTTGTGTCACCTTTGCTAGTGGCCAGGGGCTCCTCCCTCAGGTCAGTTGGGGGATGTCAGGGCCCCTGGCTGGTTGGCACACTCACACATACCAACCCACTCCAATTCCAGCAGCTGTTCCTTGTGCTCCATCAGACCAGAGCCAGGAGCCAGGGACTGTTTCCTATAGTGAGAGAGGCAAGACATGGGGATCTGCCTTCAGGGGAGGGCTGAGCTGGCAGGAACTGTCTCCCAAGAGGCAATCTGGAGCTCTTAGGCTTTTGTTCGTGTGTCTAGATCCCGTATTGGTCTCTGACTAACCTCCTCCTGCCCTGCTCCAGGATAGTCCCTAACTCTGGTTTCTCTTTGGTGTTGTTCCCTATCTCCCTTTCTTCACAAATTATCATCTTAGAACTGCAATATCCAACCAATCCTCAGCTTGTAAGCAAAGGAAAAGGGGCGGGGGGGGGGGGGAGCTCCAAAGGGTTACTTCAGAGAACAATTTATTGGTGGCAAAACCAGAAAGCTGGCTCCAGGTGGGAGGGCAGTTGTAGGTCTCATTCTTCTGGGGTTTTTTCTGTTTAAACGTATAAAAAGTACATGTGTGGGTGTGGAGAATGAGGGGTGGAAAGGGGCACAGGGGTCGAGGAGACTTGAAAACTCTTCCACATAAATTCTCTTGTGACTATTCCAACTGGCTTCTCCTTTTATCTTTTTTCCCCATCTTGTGTATTTTCCCTCCTCTTTTTATTTTTCAACTCTCATGATCCTAATTTTCTTCAGTTGCAACCTCTCTTTCAAGGTTGAGTGAATCAAGGTTCACTCCTGAATCTGGCTTCTAGTCACCACACCCCAACTAACTCAGCTCTCCCTCCTTTCCTATGGTTCTCATTCCATCCTTCCTCATTTCAAGCTCATTTGGAAATCACATCCATCTTCTGCTCCCTTATAGTCCTCCCTGGCTCCTTGCTAGAGATTCATATCTTTTAAAAATGATCAAGATTGTTCCTTTTCCTGATCTTGGTGTTCCCTCTGTGGAGCCATTGTTTAGCTTTATTCCAGCTCTTGACACAATATGGTTCGAACTAAAAATGGTTTTGGTCCTACTTGGTAAGGATATTGGGAAAGGGGAAGGAAAGGGTCATGGGAAGAAAAGAAAGCATTAATGGCTGAAAGCAGAGGCAGCTGAAGAGGACTCTAAGGGCTTCTGGGATGGGAGGGCACAAAAGGTGCATGACTCACTCTTGCTTGAAATCTCCCAGCCTCTGCTCATTACCTCAAATGCTGATAGCATCAGTGACTCAAATATATGAAGAGCCCTGGAGTCTAATGTACTTCTCCTCAAGCCTCCTTTCTATAGTCACACAAACCCTCCATACCAGAAATAGTTCTCTAATGTCTATATAATTGTGTCCCTTCTAAGTCATGCCTTCCAAAGTCCTGGTAAGATCACTTGAGTTGAAAACAGCAGAGAATTGACGGCCTGCTGGACGTCTTCTCGTTGCCCTTCTAGATTTCCTTATGGCCTGTGCCTCATGTGGCTGACCTATCTGCTGTGCACCAAACAGACAGTTTTGTCCTTTGGCTTCTGCTTGGGTATGGCCAACAAGAGACATTAGCAGTAGATCAAAGAGTAGAAGGAGAGTGAGGGTATTCCTTGTCCAAACCTTGCCCACACTTTCCTACATCGTCCCTTTATTAAACTTGCCTCAATTATCCAGTGTGTCTCCATGTTCTTCTGAGACCCTGACATATAAGACAGGAGGTATAAATAAGGAAGGAGAAGAAAATCTATATAGTGAGCCTTTCTTAGAATCATGTTATCATGTGTCGAAATAGCTATATGATCATTATTTAACTTTTCTGAATGCTCTTCCCTAGACTTACAATGGGGATAATATCTACCTGCCAGGGTTGGGAAGGTGAGATAATATATGTGAAAGCGATAGCACAGGACCTAGCACACAACGGGTGCTCAGTGTGGAAACTCTATTATTATCACTACATACCAGGCGCTGTTCTGAGTGTATTACATGTGAGTGCATTTAGTACTGAAGGGAAAACAGAATAGAATGGTGCTTCAGGGAAATTATTTCCTGTGTCAGACATTTATATTTAGTTTTTCCTGAAGCTTGCCTTCTCTCTGATTCCTAGTGGGTAAGCCGGGCTTGTGAGGAGGTTTGCCTATCTTAATTCATGAGGATGGGAATGGGATGGACAGGAGAGAGACTGAGACGAGAATGAAACTGAGGAGTCCATGTTAAGGCCACTTGTGCTTCCACACTGAAAATAGAAGGGCAAGCTGGTGAGAGGAATTGAGCTCACTGGGCACACATTCTCTTTCCTGATTTCTCCACTAAGTCTGAGCCACTGCTCCATCTCATGGGTCAGGGGCTGGGCAATAGCCATCCTGCTCCTCCTCGATTCCAAATAATCAGTTTCTGTATTTGTCCTTAGCAGTTTTTAAGACAAGTAACACATTGTAGGGGGTTACTCAAACTGAAAGACCTATGGTCTGGTGGGGAGGGGCCAGAGGCACAGTGGCAGGTAGGGCAGGCAGGCAGAAGGAACGTCACTAAGTCGTGGCAGAGCCAAGTAATCACCCTAGGCATTTATCTGGCGCCTTTCTCCCTTTCCAAACACACTGCTTCTTAATCCCTCAGCACAAGGCAGCTGGAAGGAGACAGAAACTCAAAGAAGAGCAATAATGTCCCTGAGGCCATACAGAGCTCAGTGTGAAAAATAGGAACCAGATAGAACTAGGCTCCATTTAGCCTGATCGAAAGAGTCTGTTGGACACATTGTGGGTGGCTGATAATAGGTACTGGGAGTGGGGTGGGTGTGGTTAGTGTAGGAAAAATCTAGATCCCCATGGTTTCTGTTTTTAAACCTCTTTTCTCTAAGTGCTGGAAACTCTGGCTCAGTTTCTCAACACCTGTGGGTGAGGTAGTAGCAGGTTGCTGAAATTTCAGCTATGTTCCCAGGCCTGGGGGGCATGGCCTGCAATTGACAGAATGGCTAGTAGCCCTGATTCCAGAAGAAAATACTGCACCCAACACTCACCCTTCCCGCTCCCCACTCCGCCACTTCCTGTACCAGGCAGCTCCTAAGCAACCCGGAGAACAAAGTATAGTACGGCTGAAGGGGAAGGGTGAAACGAACATTTATTACACACAGTAGTATAAATGGGACAAGAGTCAAATCTGGAGTGATGGTCTTTATGTCAATTCTCCAATTTATAGGCACTCAATCTAAACATCCTTTTCTCAGTGCTGGATGAGAAATAGGATCTCATGTAGGGAAATGCTGGGGTCCAGTTCATGGGGATGATGCCTAGTAGATGTCTTGGTCAAGAAACATTTGAGGACCAAAGCCATTTGGGAGGTGTCTCCTGGGGGTAGGGAGGTCTTCCTAGATAGGTCCATCAGAAAAGTCAGGAATCTTTCAGGCCCACAAGGCAATAAATGCCATGAAGGCGAAACCAGTGGCTACACAGCTCCACTTGGCTAGAGGGGCCTCAGGACCAGCTAGATCCCGGGGCAGAATTTCCAAGAAGGTGACATACAGGAAGGTGCCAGCTGCCACACCCTCTAACACAGCCTGGGCTAAGCCTCGCCCCGCTTCAGAGTCTCCTTGGGCCACAGCCAGCCCTAGGGCAAGGCCCAGGGGAGACATGAGACCTAATGACAGTATGGAGAACATGGCCCATCGTGATCCAGTGCCTATCCGCACCAGCCGCAGCCCTACACCAAACACTACAAGCCCCTTGTGAGCCAGGACAGCAAGACAGAGCTGCACGGTAGCAGCTACTGTTGGCTGTAGCCCCACAGCTAGACCTTCAAACACAGAGTGGAAGGAGAGTGAAAGCAAGAGGACAAGGGCTCGAAGGGGACCCCGTGAGGGTGAGGGGAGAGGCCCATGGCTGTGGAGTCCAGGGACATGAGCCCCGCCCCATTCCTCCTCCTGCACTGGTGATCCTTCAGAGGCTCCGTGACAGCACTGCAGTGCCAGTGACTCCAAAAAGAAGACAAGGAAGAAGCCCAGGGAGATGATGAGCTCTCCATAGGGATAGTCCGTCTAGGAACAGAAAGAGGGGCTGTGAGATGGGAGAGGAAGGGAAGAAAGTGCACTGGATGGACATGGGATTGGGAGACTGAAGAGAAGGAAAACGTGGTAATAGAACATACAAAGGGTAGAGGAATGAAGCCCAGAGTAGATATGGGAACACAACATAGGAATACCAGAGGGACTAGGGACACAATATCAATAGGGTTAGAAATATGGGAAGACAATGTGAAGCGTGTCAAGGGTCCAGAGAATGAAAGAGTAAAGCAAGAGCTTTTCCTGGGGTTCCCTAAACCCAAAAGGATTGGGTTGGCTTCTCTTTCCTCTGTAATGTCTGAGCTGAGGAGCAGAAGGTATTCCTGGTATTCCTCACATATTCCCTTCAAAAGGGTCTGGGTATAGGAGTTTCTGCCCCTCCTCACCCTCCAGGTTGGGGCTGGTGGCAGACACTTACCTGAGCTGAATCAGCATCATCAGAACTTCCCTCACTTTCTGTCCTGTTCTAGGGAGAAAGAAGCAAAAATTAGATGGAGATGGAGCAGCTCAGATTCCAGTTCTGTCCCTTCAGTGGCACTGCTCTCCTTAAAGCCCAATCTGACCTGTTTTCATCATTCCACACAACCCAAGAGTTGTCATCTTTCCTGTTGTTCCACCTGTCTCCCTGGCTCCATCACTTTTCCCCCTTTCTTCCCTCGGTTCTGTTCATTATTCTGGCTTCACAGCCCTGCAGCTCAGCATCTCTGCTGCTCACCTGCTTCACAAACTTTTGGATCTCTGATTCAATTCCCTCCAGGGCTTCAGCAGTCATGTGCATGAACCCTGCTCCCAGGAAAACACCAGCAGAAGTGCAGCCCAGGAGACTCAGGACCCGGCGGTGACGACCTGATAAAAAGCAGGAGTTACAATCCAGTTGGCAATAAGGAGAAAGACAAAGGGGACGAAAGAGCAAGAGGTAGCACTCAATGTCCCATGCTTGGGGATGGTGAGAGAATCAGAGCAAGGTATCAGGATAGGGTGACAGGGTTGAAGTCAGACTTAGGTTATAGGGACAAAGATGTGGTAAGGCTATACCTGTGGCTGCATTAATCTGGAACCATTTGAAGCAGATGGGAATAAGGCCACAGACCAGAGTGAGAGTCAGCAGGGCAAAGAGGCAGCCAATTTTTACTCCTAGAAGTGGCTCCATCCTTGGGGTACAGGACAAGCAGAGGCTTCAGAATGACAAATGGAGCTATAATCTTTAGAGGAATGGTGTCTTAGGTGGTCAAACCTGGAGTGTCCACTCTTCTGAATTTCAGGAGTCTGTAGGGATCCTCTTTCCGTTCTGTGTTGCCTCTGGTTGCACAGCCTTGCACAGCTGACTGGGGCCCTGCCCCAACTTCCCGCCCTCTCCCTGCACGGAGGCCCCTCCTCTGGCTCACGCCTTCCAGAACTTCGAAACCAGAAACTCCAGACTCCCTGCCAGGCACAGTCCCGTGCTCTACATCTTCTCCTCTTCAATGCCATGACTAATCCAAGCACTGTGGACAGTCTAAATTCATGCCCTGGGATGATCTAATCCAAAATGGGAGTCTATGGTAGTTACTTCCCAGCTGTGTTGTTGGGGACAGTCTGTTCCTGCCTCACTCAGGACATTTGATCTAAGCCTTTCATACCCTCCCCATCCTACCCCAAGCGTTAGAGGTTGCTACGCTGTTACCTGAACCGCACCCTTTCAGAGGGGATTTGGGGCCGCCTGGGGGTAAGGAGGAGGTGGGGCTGAGGCGTGATGCTGCAGTTGCTGTGGGAACTAGTAGATGAGGGTATTCCCCTTTCCTGTAACCCCAGAAAAATAGCTCAAGGCAAGGAAATGTCTAGTGGAAAGGTGAGATTTCTGGTATTACAACATTGATATTGGTACAACTTCTGACTGTGCCCACTTCCTGATATATACTGCAGGAGAGGGACTGAGAGTTTCAAGACAGAGAGTTACTCTAGCTCTGAAATAGCAGGGCCCAGGGGAAAACTGAGAAACGAACCAAGTAGTCTGAAGGGTCCTACCTGGATATACAGGTGTGGAGATGGCAGATTCAGTCCTGATGGGGATCAACCTCTTGAGAGAAACATATGAAGCAAACTCTAGGGGAGTTGATGAACCCTGAGAAAGATGGAAGGGAAGGAGGGAGAAAAAAATACAGGCCAGGCAGCTGCTGGTTCCCCTATCCAGGTGGCCTGCCTAACAAGCCTGAGACCTGTTGGGCCAGTTCGCAAAGAGCTGGGGGCGGTTTTCCCACTACCCCAGATTACCTCCCTGGGAAGCCTGGTCTCTGGTAGAAGCAGCAGTGTTCTTACAGGAGAGGGTGAGCTTGAGATTTGTGTGGGGAAAGCAGGCACTGAAAATCTGAGGATTCTCTTCATTACAGGATAGGCCATGACAATTGACCTCTATACATTTTAAGACTCAAAAGATCCATTTCCATTTTTTGAAAACTCTTTATTTTTATTAAAACCTCAAACACACACAGATATATGGGGGTACCAGCCCTCCCATCCTGGATACCAGGCAGCTTCAGCCTTGGCAGGCACGACAAAAGAAAACACTTGTTACACATTCTTGTTAGCTTTCAGGGGGATCTTTAGCAGGGGATGGAGGAAGCTCAGGCGGTGTGATCACAGGTAAAAGGTCTCCCCAGGAGCTGACACGAGCACAGCGATACAAATCCCTATGGAAAAGAGAGGTCAGCGTGGGCTGCAGGTTCTAGCCACCTCCCACTAATTTTGGTCACACCCTCTCTACCTGCCATGGCGGCGGGCTGTGATCACAGCATGCTGCATCTGCCCATCTGGACAGCACAGGTGACAATGCACATGTCGTGGCCGTTTAAGGATAGGCTGAGTGATACGGGGCCAGCGATTAGCCTCTTCTGGAGACCCTCGGGCAAGGATTACCATAGAGAACTTTTCCTCCTTTGGCTTCTTGTTCTAAGATAAGGATACAGAGACTATTTGGAGGAAAAAGATACGGGGAAAAAAAAATTGACCCCCATTCCTGCAGGCCTTTTCATATTCTCTAAGTTAAGCACATTCAGGCCCTAAAATCTCCAGGCTATTCTCTGAATTTTCCAACTCTTCCCACCTCTGATTCTTTTTCTTTTTTGTTTTTGAGGAAGATTAGCCCTGAGCTAACATCTTCTGCCAATCCTCCTCTTTTTGCTGAGGAAGACTGGCCCTGAGCTAACATCTGTGCCCATCTTCCTCTACTTTATATGTGGGATGCCTATCACAGCATGGTGTGCCAAGCGGTGCCATGTCCACAACTGGGATCCGAACTGGCGAACCCCAGGCTGCTGAAGCGGAACGTGCACGCTTAACTGCTGCGACACGGGGCTGGCCCCACTCTGATTCTTTTTCATCCTGCTTTCCCAGGCTATTTTCTCCCTGCCACCCTATTTCCAGGGTACATACCCAGCTGAAGGGGATGGGATGGTAAGCCTGAGAAAAGCTACAGGCCAGGGGCTTATGGGCTGTCAGCTGAGGACAAGGAAGCTCATGCGGACACTGTGAACACACATAAAAGACATGAGGTAAGACAAAAGAACCATATATCATAAAACTGAAAAGCTAAGAGTCATAGAGTCACGAAGGGCTAGGGTTAGGGGAGCATGGTCGCAGGGGGTAAGGGGAGCCAGAGAATCACTAAGAAAGAAACTGGACAGGGACACAAAGTAGTGGAGGGTGGCTTAGCTTTACCCTCTTACTTTTCCTGGCCACAGGCGAATTCACATCTTTGCGTGCTGGGAAAGGTAGAAGTAATACTCACGGGAGCAAAGACAAAACCAGGTCGAGGGTCCAAAGGTGACTTCTCCTTTCCCTGAAATCAAAGGAAATCCAAAAAATTAAGCTGGGCCTGAGGGGTCTATTCTCATAACTCAATCTCTGCACTCAGTAGATTGAGGACTCTTTTAACATTCAATTCTAGTAATTATTAACTATGTTCTTTGAGTTAAGCTGGCTGCTTCTCTAAAACTCCAAACAAAGAACTTTTTCTCTGCAGCAGGAGAAAGGCAAGAACTTGGCACATAGTATGGTGCTCTCCCTTGTCAGCAACCTCCACTCTCAAAAAAATCCCACTCTGGGACAAATAAATTTATGATTATACACTGCCTCATACCGTCCCAAAGAGATAAGGTTCTTGGCTCAGCAATGCCCTAGATCAGGGGTTGGCAAACTTCTTTTTTAAAGGCCCAGAGAGTAGGCAAAATTTGTTTCTGTCCCAACTATTCAACTCTGCTGTCTGTAGCAAGAAAGTAGCCACAGACAACAGATACAAACATAAGCATGGCTCATACAAAAACAGGTGGCAGGCCAGATTTGATCCTCAACTCTAGTCTGTCAACCACTACCCTATATCCTACTGACTTTATACACCTAATATCCTGAGTCATCCTTACCATTCTATGACAGAATTGCTTCAGTTTTCAAGGGAGTACCAGTAACTGGTGACAGATAGGTGGATGGAGCGGTGTGAAAGGAGGAGAAAGAACCTTACCTTAAGGACCAGGTCCCTGGCATCCATGAGAAGGCAGTGCCCAGCTTTTGTTCCATTCTCCACCAGTATCTGTTCACAAAAGGGGAAAATAGGCAGAAGCCCTGAATGACATGAAAACACGCCAGTAGCTCTATAAGAGCATTTAAATACGGAGTAGGGCTCCTGAGGGAAATAAGCATTAAATATAAGAGGGGGATGAAGGCCCTAAAAGAGGGATAAAGAGATCTATGCAGGAGAAAAATGATCAAGAATGAAGACAAGCTCCAATGGAGAGAAGGAAAGGAATGAAAACCATGAAGGTGGCCTAAAACTTGAAAAGAAAAAGGGATTTCAACTCACCAGAAAATGACTTGTCTTGCGCCACAAGGTTTGGACTACCTCAGTGCGATGAGCCTTGCTGGGCAGTTCACTTAGGGAAAAGGCTGATACCACCACATCGAATTGCACCTGAGGACGAAGACAAGGAACACGACAGACCCACTACCTCCCACTTCTAAGAGTACAACCAAGTTCTATCCCTTAAATTTCTTCTGCTTTCTTTTCTCTTCTAACATGCAATCCTGGGTTGCAAAGCTCAGGCCAGTTTTCCATCTGCCAAATTCTACATTTAGCACACCTACACAATGCCACTTGCCTTGGGTGATACAGGTAGAAACTGTCTGAAAAAGACACCTGGAACATAAGGCTTCCCAGATTCTAAGCCACCTGTGGGGGAAAGCAGAGATGTGGCAACTATGAATGTATAGGTATAAACTGAAGTGATAGCCTGACAAGAAACATAGCCCCAGGAATAAAGAGAAATGCTAGCTGAAAGTGAGGTGCAATATGGTAAGCAACTCTTAAAAAGGACAGGGAGAATATTGGGTCTCCTGTCCTGTTAATCTTACCCGACCCATCCATAGTCCAGCAAAGGCCTCCACCAGCCTCTGCTTGACCATAAGGTTGGACGGAGATCAGATTCATCTTTAACTTTTAGCTCTCTCCTCTACTTCCCAATAAAACACCCTTTCTAGTACTCCTTTGCTTTCTTAGCTCCTTCAACTTTGGAAAAGCCCTTCCTTATACCTTGTCCTCACCTTTCAGTAGCTTTTCTGACAAATCCAACATGGCAGCTGAGCTGTCCACACACATATATTCACGTAGGCTCTGGCCCCAAGTACTATGAGCAGCCCTAAAATGGCAAAATATAAACTGCCAGTTCTCATGACAAAGAGTCATCCCTACAAGAGACCCCTCCACCTCCAACCCCACCCCTGGGGAAAGAGAGTGTTACGTTAAAATAGCTGGAAAAACTAACAGTTTTTGTTTACAACTCCTTAAAAAACAAGGCAGATGGAAAAAATCACTTGTAGGCAAAAAACTCTGATGCTATGCAAAACCTATGCCTTACACTAAATTCCTTTCCTTTTTTTTTTTTTTTTTAAAGATTTTATTTTTCTCCTTTTTCTCCCCAAAGCCCCCCGGTACATAGTTGTATATTTCATTGTGGGTCCTTCTAGTTGTGGCATGTGGGACGCTGCCTCAGCGTAGTCTGACGAGCAGTGCCATGTCTGCGCCCAGGATTCGAACCAACGAAACACTGGGCCGCTTGCAGCGGAGCGCGCGAACTTAACCACTTGGCCACGGGGCCAACCCCAAATTCCTTTCCTTTTTTATCTTTCTAAACATGCATCTTTTTTACTTGACATTTCTTTAAGTTCTGGCCCTATTCCATAATCTTATGCCTTGCCTAACAAGAGGGAAGAAACATTCTAGTTCCCAACTTTCCTATTCTCCCTCTGGTTCTCCAGGGTATTGATATTGGAGTGGTATAAGCGTGGCTCTCAAGAGTTAGAACTGACAGAGAAAGATACTTACCAGGTGACAGAACCAGTACCCGAGCCAAAGTCCATCAAGGTTTGTGGCTGGAACTCTGGAATTCGAGACTGGATCTGAGGAAATATACAACACCCCACATTAGGGTAAGCAGACACTTATTTAGGGCCTTGGTGAATATGAATTAGGGGCCATGGCAGAGGAGAGGAGATGTGAATGTGTTTTGATATTCAATGTAAATACAATGTAAACTCTTATTCAATATAGAATAGCAAGCTCCTAAAATACTGATTCTAAACCTTTCTTGGGTCTCAAAATTCTTTCAGAGGATAAAGAGGGCCTCTTTTTTTTTTAAAGATTTTATTTTTTTCCTTTTTCTCCCCCAAGCCCCCCGATACATAGTTGTGTATTTTTAGTTGTGAGTCCTTCTATTTGTGGCATATAGGATGCCACCTCAGCATGGCCTGTCACGTCTGCACCCAGGATCCAAACCACCAAAACACTGGGCCACCAAAGCGCAGCAGGCGAACTTAACCACTTGGCCAAGGGGCTGGCCTCAAGAGGGCCTCTTTAAAGAAAGAAATGTATGTGCAACATCCCAAGAACTCTACCCCAGAAGACTACTTTATGAATAAGGGAACTGATGGTAAAAGGGTTCAGGTTGAAGTGGAGAGACCTTCACCTCATGGAATGCCCTGGAGACTGCTGCAAAGCCACCATCCAGTCTTGCTGCCATATACACCAGGCTGAGTCCCTCATTGTAGCTGCCAGAAAAATCAGAGAGTCACACCCACTGGGAAACAACCATCTATCCCATAGCTATCTTCCAGACTTTTAGGAAATGAAATCTTTGGAAAGGGCTCTGTCAGTTCAATGCTTTCACTTCTCAATACAGAAGAGTCCGTGGAGACTTACAAACCAGGTAGCTTTTTCAAACACTAAACTGTGTAATTGTACTTCCCCAACTCTCCTTCTAAAGTCAAACTTTTCTTTCTTCTGCAGCCCTTCTGGTCCCCCTTACCTCAGTTCTTGCCAGTGGTAGGTAGTTCTGCGCAGGGCATGCAGCACGGCTCCACAAAGCTTCTCCTCTGTCTGAGGTGAGTCTGGGGTGAGAACAAGGACTTGAAGTGAGGACCTAGGAAGAATAGGGCTCAGATCCAATATGTGAATATACTCCCTGCCCATCCCTCCCCAACTCCCCCGGGGGAAAGCCTCAAAGCTTAGGAGAGAAGCTAAACCTAGAGAAAAATTGCAGGTAGGAATAACCACCACCACCACCACCACCAGACTGTTTCAGATAGCATTTTGCCTCTAATAGCAGTTTATTCAACTCAATCAACCCTATCCCACAGGTTTTGTTGTATGTTCAAGGGAAGTATGGTAAAGATTCAAAGGGCTGGATAAGGACAATATTTTGTGGATTTCTTCACTTCTCCCAAACCTAAGATTGTGACATCTCCAATGTTCCCACAGGGAGGAAAGGGGCTTGAAAATCTTAAGTCTCATATTTGTGTTCAGTTCATACTGTTTTGTCTACTGAGCCTCTACCATGAACCAGGTACCGTGGGAAGTGCAGGGAATACAAGATGAAGAAAAGGCAAGTCTGTAAAATGAAGGTGCTCACAATCATGAAAATAACTTGACAAATTATATTTCTTCTCTTATTTCTGGAGAGGGTTTCAGTACTGGACAGGGAGCCATATAAGGACTTTATTTCACTTGAACAAAAACTTAGACGGTCCTAATCCAGTGGCCTCGGAGTAAAAAACCAAACATCTAGGTTTCTACAGGCTGCTGAAGCACTCGCTGACCTTTACCAAAGCCCAAGGGCAATCTCTGAAATAACCTACCTTCTCTTGATAAGACGTCACTGTTATTACTGCTCTGGCCACAAAGTCAAATAAGAAACCGCAGTACTTATTTGAGAAACTGGAATATTATTTCTCGCTGTTCATTTCCTACCGATATGTTAACTTGACCTACTCTTTATTCTTAAGCCCTACCTTGGTTTTCCAGGAATTTTTTCTCAAGATGTACAGCCCGCCTTTGCAACTCCTCTGGCTCTACAGGTAAATGCCGGCTCCAGAGATAATTGGTGAGTGCTTGCACCTGCTTCTCCACGTTGGGCATCGAGCTCTCTGTGGGCCAAAGGTGAAGAGCGGCATCACTCGCGTGCAGCTCCAGTCTCCGCCTCTTCTCGGGCCTCCCTTTCCACCGTTACTCACCGAGCACCAGTAACTGCGCGGCGTCAGCCAGAGCTTGCGGCAGCCGCACGCGCGGAAGCCGCAGGATGCCAGGGTGCCGGCGATGGGGCCTCTTCCCCAGAAAATCGGACTTGTTATCCACCTGGGAGACGCCGGGCACGAGGGCGGCGAGCGCCTGCAGGCCGAGAAAGAAAAGCTGACTGCGGGGCAGAAGGGAAGGTTCCGGGCGTTCGCGAAGGGAGGGGCTGCCGAGAGCGCTCGTCCTCGGAGCGGAGCTGTTTCCGGGATCTCACGTCTCTCTGAGAGCAGAGAAAGTGGGCACTCACTCGGGACTGGGGAGCTACTCCAAGGCCGCGGCGCCATCTGCCTAATGTCAGCAGATACCTCACGCCTGTCGCGGTCGCCATAGCTCCCGAGGCGACCCGGAAACGGAAATGTAGGCGCCTGTGACGCTCAAGGCCAACATGCCCCGCTGGACTGCGGCACGGGGCAGTGTCAGCCAATGAGGAGAGCGAGTGGTTGCTAGTAGCCAATAAACGATCGATATGTAAATCACCTTGCAGAGCGACTGTACGTGGGTGGGACTTGGACGTCGGCTGCGTTGGGACTGGTCTCTGGGTCCAGACGTCGAGGAGGCGGACCCCTTCTTGGGTTCTTTGGGGACGCACCGTAGACAGGCAAATTCACAGGCAAGGACTATTTCTGGATGTATTAATTACCTGTGTTCCTTGCTTTGCCTCCAGCGAACTCTGAAGTCTTGGGGTTTTTTATTCCTTTGTCAAAAGGGAAGAATGCGGTAACGGAAAGATGAGAGAAGAAAAACCAGATTTAAGTGACCGACGATAACAGAAATTAATAGTTAATGGATTTAATGTTTTTTACATTTTAGTTTCTCTTTATATTAAACCAGTCCTCTGTGATAAACAGCTAACGCCTAGAACATTATGTGCCAGAGACTGTGGCAAGCATTTTTACATATTACCTCGTTTAGTCCCCACAATCCTATGAGATAGATTCTGTTGTTGACCGCATTTTGTAGCTGAGAAAAGTGAATCCCAGGAGGTTAAATATCACGACCAAGATCACAAAGCTTGTTAAGTGACAGCTAGGTTTAAACCAAGGCACTCTAAGTTTAAACTTCACCTTTAAACATAAGCCCTACCGGGCATTGTTGCTCCTTGGAATGCAAGTTAGCAAGTTAACTAAGAACGATATCCTAAGTGTTCGGAAGTGTTTAACACGTAGCATTAAAACAAACTCACTGTGCTGTAACCTCTTGATTCCTATAGTAAGCATTAGTCGACTATGGTATATCTTAACCTTTTGAGATAGAAATCTGGTGACTGGATGGGTAAAAGTGTTGGCTTTACTGTAACTGAAAGAGTCCAAATATGATGATTATGGGATAAAATATGGGGAGCTATATCAGTTGGAGAGTTAAATGTCTGGTTTGCGTTTAGGCTAAGTTTTGATTCTAATAAAGGAGGCCTTTGCTGTATAATTCGAATGCTCTGGAAGGAGACTTGAGAGGTGCTTAGCACAACTGTTATAAATTCCCCACTCACTGCTCTCCTCCCTTTCAGGTTCGCCTTCTTCCCCCCGCCCCCCCCCCCCCCCCCCCCCCCCCACTTTGATTCACACTGCCACACTTCGCCTCATCTCTTGTGATACTTTGCTTTTACTTTAAATTGCTGGCTCAAGTATTAGCAAAATAAAATATCCCTCACACTGTAGGTTAGCTGTAGCATAAGATTGGCTGTGTTATTTTTTGTCATAGGGAGGTAGCAGAACATAGGGAAAGAACGCTTGGCATCTGGAATCTGGCAGTCTGACTTTGAATTCTAGAGCAGCAAGAAAATAATAGTTTCTACCTCACAGGGTTATTGGAGTGATGATTTAATGAGATAACGTCTGGACCAAAGTAAATGCTCAATATGTTTATGATATTATTATCATATATGTGATCATAGGTATTTTGGGAACTTGAAGGGACATAATCACATTTTTATTTTTATTATGAATTTATGTCTTATGTCCAAGACAGACTTGAAAGTCGGGATATTTGGGGCCAAGTAAGACTGAGCGGTGGAGACTGGGAAGTAAGGAGCAGGAGAATGTGGAGGTGCCTCTGAATGTCCCTATTGTTTTTCCCATCAAACTGTCAACATAGATGTGCCCTCCTTCATTCTAACACTGGCCTAATTGGGATTGTTCTCTTCTTTCGGTAATACAATATCTCAAGAGCTGACTTTAGACCTAAATTTACATGTCTTTGTTCTTAATCCAAAGTATTGTTCATAAAAACAAAACAAAAACCTTCACGTCATCCTCCTCTTGGATCAAGGATGACCTTAAGACATCTGAAACAGTGAACACAATTCTTGGCACATTGAAAATGCTCAGTCAATATTTGTTGATGATGTTGGTAAAGTGACCACTCTTTATCTTCATGCTTGGAAAAGCTCAGCAGAATAGACTAGGTTGAGGGTCTGAGTCCAATCATTTGACCAGGTCACAATTCCCCAAATGTATAGATAAGCCCATTTCATACCTAATCCATGTACTCTGCCATATTAACATTGGTCATATCTTGACCTGGGTAGTATTTCCAATTAGTGGCTCTGCGTTAAAAAAACAGACATAAATGTGGAGAAATTAGACAGTATTAAAGAGAAATGCCCCCAACCCCAAATTAAGTAAAGGAAAATAAAAAAGATTCCCTGAGGAAGATTTGGATAATTGGTTGGAGATGGATAATCATCAACTGGTTTTCTCCAATGAGTTTATGAAAAAGGGAAATTAATAATTAGATTTAGAGAAATTCTCAGCAATGAAGGTGTGAAGCAGCTAAAATAAGTTTCTTGGGAAGTTAAAGAAATTCTGCCATCAAAGATCCCAAAGAGTATCTTTTTTTATATCCTCTTCTTCATTTCTTTTTGTTGTTTTCCTTTTTTAAATCTTCTATTCTCGTAAGGCATTATTTGTTGTATTTATTTGTGTTTGTGTGTATTCTAGATTAGTCTTTATCTTTTAAATGATTTTTATTTTAACTTGTAACTTCTGAATGTGTCACCTTTTTTTCTGAGCTTTTTCTAATTTTGATGCATGTTGTTCTTTGATGTCTTGGATTATTTTCTTAGCTTGTTTTGAAATCATGGTTTACAGTTTTAATATGTTTCGTGGACACGTCTGTGTTAGTTTAGGTTCTTGGCGAAGCAGACATTAAGATAGGATTTGATTCTAAGACACGTATTGGGTGAAGTGCCTGTGAAGGGGAAAGGGAGAGGAAGCAGAAGAGGCGGGGAAAGCTGCCAGACTGGGAAGCAGGTCTAGCCTCTGTGAAAGAGGGAGGGAAGGAAAAGAGGGAGGGAAGGAAAACAGGTTGGATAGGCATAGTTCTAAAAAAAGTTTCAGCCAGGCTGATGGAGAGTCTTTGAGCCCAAGGTGGCCATTGGAGGAGTCTTACGTCTTGTGGAAGTGGGCCTGACCTAGCATCTCTGCTGCACTCAGTCATTGTTTGGGAGCAGACCATGGGAGGCATAGCAGATTCAGAGTGTGGCAGTTAAGGCCGTTGATCAATTATCATCCCCACAGCAGGAGATCTGAACAGTGCATTTTCATAGCTGCCCTAAAGTGACACACATCTACTTCTCCAGATCGGTTCGGTTCAAGGGACAATTCCTTCAAGCTTCATATGGGCCTCTGTTCCTGAAAAGAAACTTAGGAAGAGGTTAGTGGAGCAAACTATAGCCACTGTCACTGCAGTTGATCCCAGGGCTGTAACTGGCACCCAGCCTCTCCCTCCTTTACTGTCCATTCTAATTTCCCTTCACTCTCAGCTATCATGTCTTCAGGTCTTAGTGGTTTGCCTGGTGTTATGACCCAAACCTTCATTCCTGAGGTGTCCAAACCTTTGATAGTCTTATCTTTCTCTGGCTCAGGTTGCTGCACATGTAGCATTCACAGTTACAATGGAGCATGGGAATTCCAGGAAGCACCCAAGTAGATTACTTGGGCTCCGCATGAATTCCTCTCTTACCCCATTGTGTAAAAGCAGCTTACCTCCTCCTATTAATCAGGATTACTTAGCCCTGACATATGGTCACTCCTTTTCTCATCTGTTGGTCCCTAGACCCAAGAAATCAAAAGTGTCCTGCAAGCAGCTATAGCTTGTAGTTCAGTGGGACCCTTGATGTGTCACCTGGCAAGAATGCATCCCCTTTGGGCACCTGGGCCTTTGACCTAGCAGAACCCAGAGTTACAGAGATGAAAGCACAAATTTTTCCGGTGGGTCAGTGGGAGTGACGGTAATTGGAACCATTCCTGCTTCTACTTCTTAGTTGCTGGATCCATGTATTCTTCCTACTAGGGACATAGTACCATCTAGAGGTCTCGGGTTTAATAAATACACTGCATCCTGAAGGATGGTACCCCATCCCTTCAGAATGTTGCCTCTGAGCTGTTGCTTCAGCTGTGCCTTCAGAAAGCTAGTCTATCTCCCTCTCTCCTCCTCCTCCTCCTTCTCCTCCTCATTCTCCTCTGTCTCCTTCTTCTCTTTCTTTTCTCCCTCCTCCCCACCCCAAGCTGGAGCGGCCTACACCTACTCTTTTATTCTGAAGTAAACACCAATCAGCTCTTCCCATTAATCCCCTACTTTCTTCCAGAGGTCAGTGATATTATTGATGTACCTTCAACAGAGGTTAGGGGAGCTCTTCTGAACTGCGATTAAATAGAATGTGGTAGTTTAGCTAATTCTCCTTGGTTATACCCTCTGTGACTTTAATTTTACTGATCAAGCCAGCAGAGCCATCTGGTGATGACCTGCACTACCTTTTCATCTCTTCCATCTTATGATGTTTGCCTTTTATCTTTCCCAGATTTGATAAATGATTGTCCTCACCTGATCCACTGATGCAGGCCACATAGGAAGTCCCAAGCCATAGTCTTAGTGCCAAAGCCAAGGTCATGATCTTTCCCCCGTAATGTTCCTGTTTATGATGGTGATGAACGTGGGCTCTCACTGGGGGTAACTAACTGCTGCAATAGAAGGATTTTCTCTTCTTAGTTAAAATATAGCCCTCAGAGCTAGTTTGGGAAATATCTAATCCTCATTTCTAAGGCCTGTAGTTACCAATATTCCTGGTTATCACTTGTGGTAAAGAGGCAGCATCCTCATTCATGCCTTCCTTCACAGATTTACAGTTCAATATTTAGCAGATGCTCTATAATTATTCTCACAAGCAAGGCATGTGGGGACAAAATTTCGAAAATGCAGGCATGTGTCTGTTTTGTTCACCAATTACTCACAGCACTTAGCACAATGCTTGTCAAATCAAAGGCACTTAGAGATGTCAGTTGAATAAATATTAGTGATCTAAGAATGTCTCTCTATTGTTTTCACATGAGAATAAAAAGCTGACTAGATAAAGCACCCTTTGTTTCTTAGTGTCCATAGGGTAGTCTTTAGTTTTTCAGCGGAATGCTGTG